TAGTATTAAACTAACTCAGATTTAAGAGGAAATTTCTGTTAAGAAATATAGATAAAGTTGTGAAATTCCAGATAATATATTTCTCTTAATAATTTAAAGAAATCTGTAAATATTTAATCTCTCTATCTTTATAATAGATGTTAGATGTGTAGAGACTGCAGTAATAATAAAGTGATTGAAGATATTATATTAAAAATATACAGTGAGTTCAGAAATCTCAGATTTCTATTAAAAGTAGAAATATATAGACTTTAGAGAATAATGTGAAGTTTCTCTCAGAGAATAAGATCAGATCAGTCTCAGTACAGATATATAAGATTATATCAGTTTATTAATAGAGTTTAACTGATTTAAACTTGTAATCAGATTAAATAATTCAAATTGTAACATGATAAAATTGAAGCAGTGACTAGTGAGTAATATTATTTAGAAGTAGTTATTGGAAAAGCTGTATAAGTAAGCTTGACTATCTTGCTTAAATAGTGAGCTCATGAGCTACAGAGTTATTACAAGAATATCACACATATGATACTTAGTATACTAAGAAAATTATATGAGAAATACAGTAACTCTTATATATATTTCAGTAGAAGATAAAACAAATCACTGACTTATTCAATAAGAAGTCAGTATCTAGCTATTCTATATAGATAATGAATAGATATCTCTCTTTTATTCTATAAGTAAGAATATCAGAAGTAATACCTTAGCAGTATCTCACTACTATGAAAGAGTAATCTGCTAATCATGTATAGAAGTAAGGTTTTCATATTTATTAATCAGATCTTTCTAGTCTCATAAAAGAGAAAATAGTTTGAAAGAGATATGAATATTCTCTGATAGTCAAGCTGCTTTAAAAAGACTTAGAAATAGTCACATTCATAATGATCAAATGAATCTTGAACTGATTTTAAACTCTGTTTTGAAAATTCAAAAGAGAAGAATATTAAAACTGATAATTCATCTGCACTAAGTTCCTGCTCATATGAATATTCATGACAATGAATTGACTGATTCAGCTGTAAAAAAGAGTTCAGAATTCAGCAGATCTATTCAAAAAACAGTGTTCTGATCTTCTATAAAGAGAAAGATAAAAGAATCTTGTTTAAACAAGTGAAATAAAAGCTGATAGAAACAAATGAAGAGTATACATTATTCAAGATTTGAGATAAAATCAAAGTGAAAATTGTATTCAATTAAATGTAAAAAGAAAATATTCTCATCTATAATTCAGCTAAAACTAGAACATGATTATTTCAAATTCTATATACAAAGATTTGATGATAGATTTAATTCAACAGAGTACTCATTCTGCAATGTAAATAAAAATCCTGAGTATATTATAATGCATTATGCATCATATAATAGTCTCAGAGTCAGATTGAAGAAGAAGTATGATTTAAATTAATTAAATATAAGGTTCTTATTCTCAACTGAGACTGGAATTAAATACTTAATAGACTTTCTATCAGAAACTCAAGCAGCTATAAGAAAATGACTGAATTCAGAAGTATCTGAATATGAAGAGATGAAAATTAATTAGATATAGTCTGTTAAAATAGCTATATACTATCTTTTAATAATTTTATTTTATTATAGTCTCTCTTTACTGTACTTGTTTCTTTCTGTTCTTTTCTATCTATCTATTTAATATGTCTATCTTTGAGACTATGTTCTCTTTTCCTTTGTCATGATATTTTCAAATGATTTCAAAGTATTAAAAGGTGTTAAAATACTGCAATTTATAAACAGTTTTTATATTCTGAGCTGGAATTTTCTGATTTTATGTATCTGAAATTGATAAATGTATAATAGTTAACTCTATAGATATAGGAAAAACTCTGAGAACTAAAGATTCTCAGATAGATGTTATAGTCTCTGACTGTATACATCTACAATTGAAGAATAATAATAATAATAATAATAATAATCAGATCTTTCTATATTATATTCAAATAATATTATAGAGTGATTGAAAACCAGTTTAAACAGTCTGCAGAATAAATGAAATCATCTATCTGAAAGTAATAAGCCGCATGAAACTATAACAGAGTCTTGACGCGGCTGAAAGTGTGATAATAGTAGTCTTATACTGTTGCAGTGAGACTTACTATCTACTCTTATTATATTTTTCAAGTAAGATTATGATTTTCACTTCTTAATTTAAATTATTTTTATTACTTTAAATGACTTTAAATCTTATTTAAGTGTTATTAAAAAGTGTTACTTTTTAAAAAATTAAAAATAGTTTAAAAAAACCTTAAAATGCCTAAAAATAGTAACTTTATATCAAGAATGAGATTAAATAAGATAAAATAAGACTACTTTCTTATTTTTTCTAAGTTATAATCATTTTAAGATCTGATATATAGTCACTTTATATGTTTTTTCAATGACTAGTCTCAGTGTGATTCACATCAAGAAATGTATGAGATCAGATCAAATGAGATTAAATGTGAAATTCATGATCCCAGCGGCCAGTCTATTCACAGTCACATCCATACAGAATATGAGAAAAAGAAGAACATTTACAGTCAATTCTTGAACTTCAAGAACTGTATAAGCCTGCAGCTGCATTCACACAGAAGAAATTAGAAGATTTGTGAATATTTTCAGTCAATTTTTTGACTCTAAGAACTGTATGAGCTTGTAGCTACATTCATATGAAAGAAAGCAGGAGGTTTACAGAACTACATACTCATAGTGAGTGTGAGTTATAAACAAAGAAGAACTGAATCTTTGCAGAGAGAGATAGATTATGTCACACTTCTACATGAAAGAGTGTTTTATTGCATTGCAGCAGCAGCAATTGCAGCAATTGAAGCTGTAATTGCCTGATTAATGAGTGGTGACTACCTATACAGGCCATTGCGGCTTCCTATACAGGCCGTTGCGGCTTCCTCTACGGGCGGTCATGTGGGGGCGTGCAAGATCGCACCTTCTATTCTAATCAGGTTTTTAAAGCACCTAACATATTGCTTCGCTTCGCTCCGCAAATAAAGCTGGAGTACACCTATAAGATAAATCAAGAAACGCAAAGCTGTCTATGTTCCAACTGTGCCTACTCATTGCTCAATTTCATAACAACCATGGCCCCAACAATCTCGCAGTCTTTCGACTGCAAATTACCAAGAGCACCTGAGATCGAATTTGGTTTTAAGGGCTCCTATCGAGAATTCAAATCCACTGTTCCATCCACCGTTGACATCGATGCAATACCTGTCTTCATCAAAGAAGATGCTTCGGTTTTCCAGACGATCGCAGAAAGATATTTCCCCCCTGTGACACCCTTCAGCCCACTCCAAGCTAGCCTGCCCATACTGGAAAAAACGCATCGTTTGGACACAGAGGCCGACGTTTTGCGGATTTCTATACTTCAACTCATCCATCCTGTGAATATAGCTCTCCAGGAGATACTCCAAGCCGGGACCAAAATTATCTGCGGAACTGAGTCATATGGTGGACCTAAAAGTCGTTTCGATGTGCAGTGGTCCCTTTATTCCGACCAGGGAACGTTGCTGGAGATTCTTGCTGTTCTTGAGGTCAAAAATACGCACATTATACGTCGAGTTGACTTTGCGCCGGCTGAAGCCACCGAGCAGAACTTAGAGATACAAAGGAGCAAGGCCGCCAGTAGAGAGCCGCATTTTACGCTGCTTGAGAAGAATGCAGTTTGGCTCTCAAAGCAAGCCGGTAAATACTCGCAACAGTGCGCCAGTGTTGCGGTGTTTGACTGGAATGCTATGTTTATTTTCAATTACCTTCATGAACAATCTACTATAGGCGGGGCGGTGAGAGGCACTTACTTCGATGAATCTGGCTCGACCAAGGATATGACGTTCCGGCGCCTTCTTTTCGCATTTGTGGCTCGGGCACTGAAAAGGTACGAAGCTGTGAGTATGCGGAGCTAGTTTCTCTGTATTCCAACAGGTATAAATGTACTTGAAGAAGCAGGTCTGCGGCCAATGTCTGTCCATGATTTTGTGTGTTTGTTGTGTCAGATTTGTTATCTTCATGTTGGCGATGTCAGCTGTTCCTGCAGGTCATTCTTTCGTTTTTTTTTTTCAAGTGATTAGTTTTATTGGGTAGCTCTCCTGGGTAAATAACTTAAATCTGCTGTTATCATGGGACTACGGACGCATATCTTCACTGGGTCTATTAATAGTGGAATGCCGCAGACCGGCTTAATACCCCGACGCGACCAGAGACAACCTCACAATCACCCTGCATCCGCGATCAGTATAGGGATTCCGGGGGCCACTACTTAAGTAAATGCTCTACACCCCGGAGCCCTTGTGCGCTATAGGTTTCTTTCCACAGATGAGAGAGAATGCAGGAGAAGATTTGTGGAGTCCCTTAGCAGAAATAACGCTAAACGCAGTACTTCAGTCAAAGGGCTCGATAGCGAGTAAAAACGACCGATCGCTCGAAATAACCTTTTGACAGAAGGTGTCGTTATGGAACGCTCCTTTTGGCGCAAAGGCCACCCTTTTTCTGGACCCTCGCCCGTAGCTATAAAATGAAAGCTCTTCTCATAGGGATACAGTATGTGAGAACAGTCAAGTCTCAAGAGCCTTTATTTTCTATTGTGTCTCAGTTTTATGCTTGTATAATGGAAAGTTTGATGTGAACGGCCAATCTGGGAGGCCATCTGGTGTTTTGTCTGGTCAGAATGTCCAAGGCAAATCGGAGGTTCCGAAATATTTGATGGCCTGTATTTATTCTTTGGTCCCACCGCGTGAGGCCCGTTTCTACGGATCTCCCCGGCTTCCATGTCTGCGGTGATTGTGTATGAAGATGTCTGGCGCAGGACCGCCCTTCGTTTGATTCTCTGTTGTAGTCCAATAATTGATGGAAGTTAGTCAAATTTTGTAAACATCGCTAGTCATACATCAACGGGAAACGTGGTCCGTTAACCTGTGTCTCAAATCTCGGTCTAGCGTCTCATAAGGTGGCTGGCTGCTTGTTGCAAGATATCCCAGGAAGTAAGATAATCCGTTCCGAGCTATGATTCGCGTACCATGGGAATTGGGTGCAAGCATGCCATGCCATGCTCCATCTTCCATTTTGCCAGCAATATGGGTAAGTAGCATCGATCTCTTTGTGACTTGGTCTCTGACAGTTATCACAGAGTTGGAATTCATCGTGACGCAGGCTTTGAAGATGGGATGATATTTATGGGTAATGTGCTTACGGAAAGGCGTAGTCGGTCCCAGTCAAAAGCCCAATGCTCTTGCTACCAGCTGGTATCGATGCGATTTCTGGTGGACAAGCCCTGCTAGTGTCACCTCCAGTGTGCACAGACATTTGGTGGAGTGGACCATCGTTGGTTGGCCACCACAATGGTACTCGCGACCCAGCCTAGCACAGTAATGGTTTAGTGTGGGGCATCCCTAACAGAGAATTTCCCCACCTGTGCTGCCAATTGGTATTGTTCAACTTGAAGTATGTGTTGAAGAAGGACAGTGTGAAAAGGAAGAAGTTGTTCAACATATGAAGAATCTTTTGAAGCTTCAAAAGTTGAGTCTAGCAGTTTGCACCACAATATGAACCCTGTTCACATATTTTCACTCAAGATTTATAGTATGAGCAATGAGATATCAGGATGCCTCTGAACAGTCATGAGAAGAAATTATGCACTTAGACATTTTTCTGTGTTTTGAATCTGGTTGAAAGAACTCCTATAGTCTCTGAGCTCGGATTGTGCTTGGGCGGATAATAGAGGCTTGCTGTAGTGGAATGTTCCAGATGTGGCGGCTAGCCTAGACTGGAACTGAGGAAGAGAGAAACTGCTTTTCAATTCAATCAGTCAACAATTTTGAGAATAAAAGTCATCACCATCGGTCTGCCGGTCGCAGGACAGACAGTAGTTCGGACACAGTCTGGGGATATTGGAAGAAGATTTGGAGTTTTGCGGCTGGAGAAGATTAAATTATTGTCATTTTTCATTGAGCTCTCTCTCATATGTCATACTGACGTCAATGCTTCATCTTTTTTTTAGTTTAGAACGTTTTTGACTTAGGAAAGGCTGCTCTGCTTGAGTGCTGGGTTTTGTTAAATCAAAAAAAAAAAAAATGATTGGCCAAAAATAGAACATCCTTGCTTTGCGCCAAATGAAGAGTTGCATCCGGAAAATTAGAAATTCCGGGTGCTGAGTGAGCCCAGTTGTAGGAAGCTATCCCTTCTATCAGACCACAAAACAGCTTGAACATGAATTTTGACAGTCAGATCTAAATATGTTCATAAACTACCAAGTGTGACATTTATCAAATATATTCTTAGCACCTTATTGCTGATCCAGGAAACTATATCGGCTAGAATCAAGGGATGGGCTTGCCTTGTATGGATAACCGCCTTGCTGCAGATTTTGATGGAAGATGGTCCTTGAAGCAAGCATGCGCAGTTTTGATACCGGTGCCTTATTGTTGACCCAGGAAATGATGCACTGCTGGCATCGGGGGATGGGCTTCCATACCCTGTCCCGTGCATCAAGTCTCAAGCCAAACTTTTGTCTCTCGATTGTTTTGACAATCATCACTAGCCCCCTTACCTCGGCCACCCACGCTTGTTACTCACGGGAGGAAGTTGCTCTTGTAGCTGCATGGCCTTTTGCCTTGCACATGCGCCCTGTTACATGTAGTGATTTGGGCTGCAAAAAACAGCTCTCTCATAATTAGCCTGATTGCTAAATTCAACTAGACCAATGATTGACTACTATCCAGCTGCAGTTGCTGTGTCACGAATTCTTTGCTTTGGGGATTATACAGTCCGAGTCCGGGTTTGGTTGTGTCATATTTGTTTTGGCACCGGGGGCCTTACTGCCGGGGGACAAATTGGTGGGCCCATGCCTATACACGTCAACACGTCTATTCATGAGACCTGTGCGAAAAGTTATTATCCCGACAAAGACAGCCCCCGTGGCGAGTATCAATTAACATGGATCTAAGCTCATTGCCTTGTTTGAATGCTGGCTGGTCATCCATGCTTGGATGTTTTGATCCCACACCTGCATTCGTTCGCATTTTTGGCACCGGCGCCTTACCGTCTTAGCCACTATAATTTTTACTCATGTATGTACCGGGGGAGGTAATGATGAGCTTCCAGAAATGGGCGGCCAATGCCGCTTCCTCCAACTTTAAAGGGGAAGATATCCCCTCCCCCAACAATGATTTTTATGTCCGAATTAAATCTCTTTTACTTGCCTTATACTCTAGATTTTACAGAACATCGGAATAAAAATCCGTTGCGAGCACGTCATCCGAGCCATGGCAGATCAGGTGTTGGTGATTACTACACCTACCCTAGTCACGTGCCACCCCAACCTATTTAGTGTAACTCGCGTAGTTAGATTACAACATAACAACATTATCCTTCAAGAGGTTATGAAGCCCTTCACAAGCAACGAATAACCGCAATAACATGCCAACTACATCTCCATGTATTATTACATGTGTCTAGATGTTTTTTATTGATTAATTGAACTCATGATTAATCTAAGATTTGAGGGGACATCTGACTTAATAAAAGAATATGTATCTTTAAGATAAAGAAATGAGAAAATATCAGAGCAGTAAACTGTAAGAATAAGTACTCACAGACAATTATTCAGGTGTTTGCAGCTTGGCATGATATATACTATTAACTACTAGAAGTATTCACAGTAGAAAGATAAAATATAGAGATTAAATATATAATAGTATTTAAGCTGAGTTATAAATAGTATTCATGAACTTCAGTCTATATAGTTATATGTAGTCAAGAGTCACTAGCTCTATTAGTTATATAAGAGATAGAAATAGAGATAAAGAATTCATGAGAAGTAAGATTTCTTATATACTCTTCTCTCTCTAAGACTTTATCTGTAAAATCTTTTACTAAGTGACTTTATAAAATCAGCTCAGCACTGTAGTAATACTCACTAAAAATTCTTTATATTTATAAAAAATCTCAGTGAGGAAAAATCTCTTATTATTATAAAGAGAAAAGAGTCTGTTACTCAGTTTCTTATTTTATAAAATTCTTTATAATTTATAAATTCTTCTCTAACTATTATACAGATTTATCTTATATCTTTTATATAGAAGAGTTTCAGTTAACTCTTAATTATTTTTATAAGATTCTTATATAACTATTATACAGATTCATCTCACAGATAAATCACTCTCTATAAGATTATTCTTATTAGAGAGAAGTATTTATAAGTTAATCTTTTACTTATTCTTATAAATCATTATTCTTTAATACTGTAGAATTATAAGAAATTTTCTATTCTTTTATTAACTCTGTAGAAATGTAGAATCAAGATATTCATAGTCTGTAATCACTCTTTATAGTTATATAGAAAGATTCAGATCTATGATTTATAATCACTTTTATTTACTAGAGTAATCTAACTATTTTATAAAATTACTCATAGTGTAAGTAAATCTCTCTAAAGTAGTATAAATATCTCAGATCTATTTATAAAATCTTATCTTCTTTTTTCTTTTTCTATAACAGCTCTTATTCTTATAAACTGTGAGTATTATTATTTATCTGTGAAGTATTTTCACTTAGATAATAGAGAGAGAGTATTTCTAATAATATCTGTATATTAATTCAAGAACTTCTTAAGAATAAAAATTTTTTTTAATTTTAATATCTTTATAAATGATGTCTGATTATTACTAAGCTTTTTATAAGTATCTTTATAATTTCTCTGATTACTTTTTATCAGCTGATAAAGTAGAAATACTACTACTTATAACTGTATCTTTATCTTTCTCAGTCTCATCACTGTACTTAATTTTCAGATTAGCAGTTAATCTCATATCTCTCTCAGATCAGTCTCTGACTCTAAGTAGTATAGTTTCTCTCTTTACTATAAGTCTTCTTATAAGTAATTTCTTACAGACTCTAGTTAACAGTTCTT